TCCCACGTAATGAATTACAGGAAATCCCAGGTAAATGAATTACAGAAAATTGGAATTAAAAATATAATCGTCCTGGTCAAGCGTCGGGTGGGTGACGAGTGGACAGGAGCGACCCGGGGAAACCAGGAGCGACAGTGACGAGCCACGGTTTCGAAGATGCCAATCACACGCGGTTAACTTCCCCGGTTTGCGTCCATCGGTGTGGACGAAACGCGTGGGACAGAGTCACCGGTGTGACAGGTGAAAGAAAAACAAAAGAAAATAGGTTGACCGATCGAAACAGCTGCGGAGGCTTTCCCGCGGAGAAACACGCCGCGCAGCCAAATAAATAGGGTTGACCGGTTTGACGCACACATACACACACAAAGCGACGCGCGCTGAGCCGACCGGTGTCCTATAAAACACAGACAGTCGTGGCAAAAAGGGTAATAGAGAGGAAGGGATGCAATGCGAGAGACAGAGGAGAAAAAGAGACAGAGAGAGAGAGAGAGAGTGAGGGAGGAAAATAGAAACAGTGTATGGGACAGAGCAAGAAAATGCCAGACAAAGAGAGAGAGAGAGAGAGAGAGAGGAGAGGAGGAATGTAGTTGAAATTGTGAATGGGTCAGCGAGTGTTCGTTCGCGCGTATTTCGAAATCATTGTTACGTGAAATGAACAGCTGCGCAAGCTACCTGCACGCTCTGCCTATACGACGATTCGATTTGAGAGCATCCCGCCGCCACCCCCCACTGGCTCTTTCATTTTTCACGTCTTCGCGGGACGTTCTGCCTTCGCGCCTGAAACAACCTTGCCCCCTCCCCCCTCCCCCTCCACAGATTTTCGCGGATTAATCCGTCGGAGCCATTTCGCCAAAGATTCGACGTTAACGTCATGCTACGCCGATGTTTTTTCCGCCTGGGATTGCTTTTACAACAGCGGGAGAGACTGGCCTCGCTCTGCTGCCGCGCTCACAAATACGTGTCGTCGAATACCGGAAATCGATTTTAATTCGTAAATTGCGATCGTTCGCCGATACGTTCGTCAAGCTTCGCGTCGAGAGGTTCGCACGAGAACTTACATTTTTAGAAGTTTCTCGTCATTCTCGAAAAGATAACTGGAGTGTGTCGAATTATCCACGAATATTCAACACGAATAACAAAAATTCATCGATTTCTTTGTAAAATGCTAGAAACATGCATGTTTCCATTTAAATTTTTAACAATTATATATATATATATATGTGTGTGTATATAACAATGTTTAAGAAAATAAATAAAAATTGAAGCGATCTCTTGGAGCTCTTCAAAGAATATTATCTTCCAATCCTTATCTTTTAATCCTCAAAAGAAGATAAAGATGGAACACTGACAAATTATTCTACGTATGCTTTTAGTGCATTTTTTAAAGATCATAATTATAAAAAATAAATATATATAATATATAAAATACATAGAAAGAAAAAAAAAAAATATATATATACTATGAAAAATTTCTTAATATTTATCAAGCATGAAAATTGCTGACTTTCAAGCCTCACTTTCTTACTAGATGTTTTCGTTCACGAAGAAAGATCTTATATTCCACTTTTTTTGAGAAAGTGCATGCTCAAAAACACGGCGAAAAGATATTGTTCGTGGGGACAATGTGACAAAGTGAGATTTCGATTTCTGGCCAAAGCTCTGTCGTGCAAAAGCAAAATATCGTGCAACACGCTTCTGATTCGTGGAAAGTTCACGCTGCTGCGAGAGAAGACGGCCGGCAATCGATTCCAGATGGACCAGTATAGAACGCGCGAGTTCGTTAGAGTCGCACCAGACGAAAGAAACACTTAATCGGA